GGAGTAAGAAACATCACTTTGCAGCAGAAAATCACCTGTATTTCTGACTTTGTATTTCATCAATCAACTGAGCCTTTGGATAGCTGAGCAAAATTTAGAGTGTGCCCAGCCTGGCCCCTGCCTCCAGAGCTTGCTTCCTAGAGGAAAGTTCTTTTCAGTGCGGTGAGGAGGAAGGTCCTCTTTCTCATGTGGTAAGTGCTCTACAGAATAGAAGACAGGTGTTGCCCAGTCGGTCAGTGGAAGAACACGGAAGATATGCAAGTGTCAGGCCTTGGTTTAAACTGTATTGTTTGTCATTTAGGCAGTGGTGTGGTATTACCGACAGGTAACGTCACTGCGGTAGATCCAACCACAGGTGCATCATCACAGAAACAGAGAGCTTAGTTCACCTTATATAATCGAGGCCGGAAATCATTATTTAATTCTTTAGCTATTACATGTGCAATTAATATTCAAACTTGAGTTGAAAAGTAACATTAAAAATAATAGCTAGGCCCTTGCTGGTTTGGTTCAGTGGTTAGAGCATCAGCCCGTGGACTGAAGGGTCCCGGGTTCAATTCTGGTCAAGGGCACGTACCTGGGTTGCAGGCTTGATCCCTGGCCCCAGTCAGGGCGCGTGTGGAAGGCAACCAATCAGTGTGTCTCACGTCGATGTTTCTGTCTCTCCCTTCCACTGTCTCTAAAAAGCAATGGAAAAAATATCCTCGGGTGAGAATAAAACTATATATATAATAATAATAATAATAGCTAGATGACTTTGAGTACATTTAAAACCAGATATTTAAAATAGTATAGTATTTAAAAGTCATTTGGCCCTATCATAAAATGGAGTTGGTTTGGGGACTTGTTTTTTAAGTGAAACTAGCTATCAGTAGAAGTGAGAAGCCAAATAGCATTATTTTTTTCTTTCGTGACCTGCTTCCTTATTCCACTTCTGAGATGTTTGTTGAGCACACAGTAAGGGCCAGGCACTGTGCTCAGTCCGCACGATCTCAGCTCAGCCGGCCGTCACCCTGAGGACCACAGGTCAGTGTTGCCCAGCCCCCTGACTGCATGCGGTGTGAAGCCGCCCAGTTCTGAAATGTGGACATCCGGTTCAGAAGTGCCCTGGACGCTGAAGTCTCCAGGTGGAAAATCCAGAGGGACCTATGAGAGCTGGGTGACAGGGAGGCAGAAAGACACGGGCACTGGGCCCAGGCATCCCGGGGCTGGCATCTCCTAGATTCAACGACCTCATTTGTCCTCTATTCCCCTCTGGTGGCCGCTGAATAATTAACCAAGATACTGCAGGTCTCAGAGTCGGCAGGAGTCAAGGTCAAGGAACATGCCTTCTTACGCAGTGACTTGGCAAAACGGATGCCGCATTGCTCGGAAGTGGTTACAATATATTTTACAACCAGTTTTGTTAACTGAGTTCCTGAACTCCTTTTTAAAATATAAATTAGCATCATAGACCTCTAGCACAGTTCGTTCTTGGGAATTCTGCCAAATACGTCAGGTAGGTCCCATAAAATCCCAAATGTCACAAGATTCAATGTAATCCAGCGAGCGCGAACCAAGCTTACTATCAAAGGATATGAAATACCTGCCAACACTTAGTCACCAGGACTTGATGTCTCTGCCTCAGAGAAGTGGACACTTTGTGGTGCACCCCCAGGCTGAGGCTGCAATGGGGTCCCCCTTCAGTGACCAGGGTCAAGGTAAGTGGAATCACTGGACCGTGGCCCAGCCATTTCAGATAGGATGCCGTAGGTTTCAACACTGACATTTCAAGAACCGGCGGAGAGGTGGAAAGCATTATGCTTTGTTTTTGTTTGGAATCACGAGAGAAACATTTTTAATAAACCCTTAAATTCTTCCCATTAATGTGATTTAGGTAATGAATTCATAAAGATTGGACTGATTTGTTTACATACACTCAACCTTAGGAAAATCACCTTGTTTGTTTGTTTACACTGTCAGTTCCAATCAAGCAAACAAGAGGGTTAACTGAAATGATTAATGACTGCTCACCGCTGATGGCTTTAAATATAGAGCTGTCGTGCTCTCAGGGTTGATTAGCTCTCTATCCATCACTGATGCTATTAAAAGCTCCGGGCAATTTAGATGTCGTCTCTGAGTAAAATCCAGTGGGCTCAGCAAACTTCTATCAGATGGAGTCTGCTGTGGCGGATATACATGTGCAAAGACGTTAGAGAGACAGGATGGCCTTTACCGATGGAGGGGAGGAAGAACAGAAATCGGGAGGGACAGGCGGGCAGCATCCATCACAGCAAAGCTGAAGAGGCCTGGGAAAAGAAAAGACGCATCCCCACTCGAGGAATCCCAAGTGGCATGAGGCTATGCACATTGATCACTTCTCTTTCAGAACTTTCCAGAAGCAGGAAAAATAAATGAAGGGACGCAAGAGGGTGACATGGTATCATGCTCTAGTAATACCTCTAAAAATGAACCCACAGGGAAACCATGGTGGTCAGTGGTGGACACCAACATTTTTATTAACAAGGTAAAGGGGAGAGGTGGCCCGGGCAAGGGCAGGGTGAGTACTGGCAGTCGCTGCGTGGAATGATTATGTGTCCTGGGTACTTCCAGACGAGACAGCAAGCTAGAGTGACCACGCCAGTCATGGCAAGGGGAGGTCCAGTAAAAGAATCGTCCTTGTGCTCCAAGGGCAGAACGAGTCCAGTCCTGGGCTGCTGCAGCTGACCCTGGGGAGATCAGGCTGGTGACGGTAGCTGTGACTTTAGAGGCGTGCAACGGGGACATTAAAGCATTCCCAACGTCTGTACCTTTGAGACGCCATATCACTGGTCCAAGTGTCCAAAGATGCTTTAAATGGGAGGGAAAACATTATCTCCTGGACCGAAATTCTCTGGATATTTGGTTCCTTGCTGTCCAGGGTGTGGGCGAGGGGATCTGTCAGCAGGCCGGGCCTAAGCGGGAAGGTTCCTGTCGTTACTCGTGCAGCTGAGCCACCTCTAGGAAAAAGGCAGCCAACAATTTGGATCCGTCTATGTAGTTCCGCCTGTTGAGAGAAGAAAGAGAAACACCGTTATTTGCATTCAGATGGCGGAGGAACACCCGTCTGCAAGTTGAACAGGGGAGGGGAGGGCATAAATTCAGTCTGAAGCCTGCGGCATGTCCGAGGTCACCGAAGCGCAGACCTGGGGCTGGGCGGCGAGGCCGTGGCCCCCCCAGACCCCACCTGTTGATCTTCTCATTCTGAGAGTGCTCCCCGTCGTCAACGGCGCCCAGCGGAAGCATCAGCACACTCTTCTGGATAACCTCCTGGAACGTTTTGGCAATTGGTATGGTGGATCCATCCCGGATCATGTCTGGCTCCGTTCCAAACACTGCAGCCAGGGAAGAAGGCCTTTGATTAGCAAGACGACGGCAGTGACCCCCGTCCATTTGGTGGGTGGGGTGAGTGAGCGTCTGCTGTCATGCAATTTATGTTCTAAAATAGAGCGTCCAGAACAGGAAACTAAAATTGGAATGATGATATTAACTTGGCTCCAACCTTACTGGACCATCACGACTGTCCCTTTCCTGCCCCGTGACCCAGTCCAGAACCCCACACAGTGTTTGTCGCAGCTCCTCAGCCTCCTCTAGTCTGTGACAGCTTCTCGGTCTTTCCTTGTGTCCCATGACCTTGAACCTCTGGAAGAGTACTGACCGGTCGTTTTGTAAAATGTTCCTCAACCTGGGTTTGTCTGTCTTCTCATAATTGGAAGGGGTCGTGCATTTTGGGGAAGAGCAGCACCAATGTACCTACTTTTATGGTTGGTTCATAAATTAAATATTAGGAAAGCGAGACTTAGTTTTTTAGGTGTTTTTTTTTAACCAATATGTAAATACATCGCTATAGTCAACTGTCACCTGACCTCTCAGTGCTCGTACTCAGATTTCAATGCATGCCACGAAATAGCTGAATGGCTGCCCCAGGGTCTAGAAAGAGACGAGTTCAAACCTTCTGGGCCAGAGGGCGAGGTGCCAGTGATGGAGCGGAGACGAAAAATAAAGTGACGGAAGAGGACACGCCGCGTGGTCCCTGTGAACGCGAACCGCGAGGGCGCACCCGGTGGCCTCTCACGCAGCAGGCCCCGAGCGGGCTCGCGCCTTCCTGCAGGAGCACCTGGGTCTTCACCGTCGGCCCTGACGTGTGGACAGCACGTCTCCCTTCGCCGCATTCCCTGCGCCTGCCTGGCTGAGCTTCCTCTTCCCCTCACTCCCAGCTTTTACTGGTCAAACACGGCTGCCCGTGGGGGGTGGACGACGGAGAGAAGCAGGCTCCAGGTCTGGGGCTCGCGTCCCTTGTACTGACAGCCCTCGCAGAGAGCCGGCCCCCCAGGAGGCCTGGACCTCAAACTCCAGCTCTGCTGCCATCAGGGGTGTGGCCTGAGGCCCCTTCTGCAGCGCAGTGGTCCCTCCCTGCCCACGGCTGCACTCTCCAAGGCTTCAGTTACCCACGGCCAACGGCGATCGGGCCGTACTGCACGGAAAACGCCAGAAATAAACAATGCCTGCCGCACGCCCCTCACTTCATCTCATCACGCAGGCATTTTGTCATTCCCATCATCACAAGAAGGGTCACACTCAGTAATACAGCCTGTGTAAAGGACAGTTGGTACTGGAGTTTCACACTGTCTGCTTTATCCAGCCCCCGCTCCCCACCCCACCCCGGGCCCGGCCCCAGTCACCAGCCCTTGGTCCCACTGTAAAGGGGCTCCTCTAAGTATCTTAAGTCCAACCTGTTTTGATGGCTCTTTTTGCTGCAAGATACTGATGGTCTTTGACATCTGCCACCCACGGGTGTAGTCCCAGGACCATGGAAACAGCCATCTGGTTGGGACTGTTTCTTTGGGAGAATATATCCTGGAGATGCTGCTTCACCTAAAAGGTAACGTTTTCAATTGCAAGAGAAAATTTGGAGTTCCTCCCTCAGACAATGACTATAGTCTCCCACCAAGAAACTCTGAAATCCCAGCCCGACAAATCCAGAGGTTGTGATGTGATCTTGGCCCTGCCAGAGGGAAGACGGCACAGCGAGCAGGGTGTCCAGGGAGAGCTTCGCCCAGTGGGAGAAACACCAGCTCTCAGCCCCCTCACCCCCAGCCCCCCCATCCCACCACAGCGTCTGACTGCTAATGTTTGCTTGCTCTGAATCTGGTAACTATGAAACCTCGAATGGTATTACGGATCCCACGAGCAACAGGAGTATTATGAATGCTGAGTGACTATGAAACATGATACAAGTATAACTGCTCAGTTTGAACATCCCCCTTTCGGGATTTATCGGCCCTTCATGACCATTTCGAGAGCCATCCCACAATGACTGGGAAAGGGCTTGTCAGCACCCTTCTCTTTGCCCCGGCTCCATTCCGGTTGCTGCTGTGGAATCCTCCCGGGAAGAACCCCACAGTCTTAGATATTTCTTCCATTCATTCCTTCAGCAAACGTTTGCAGAGCACCTGTCATGTGGCAAGGCCTGTTCTAGGGGCTGGGGTGTAGCTGTGAACAAGAGGGACAAGGTCCCGCCCTCAGGGGATGTATGTGGTGAGAAAGTGGGGGTGCAGAGAGGGAGGAAGGAGAGGAAGTGGGAGGGGGCGTATGTAGAACGTAATTATCACCTAGAAAACAGTAACAGGACAATGGGCTGGAGAGGGTTGGGATGAGGTGTTTCTTGAGCTCATTTGTTCAGTTTACTTCTGTTAAACTTGAGGATAACTGATGACGGGCGGACGATGGGGACATATAACTCCTTCCAGATAACATTTTCGTTAAAAGGCTCCTATCCGAGTGCTCATTTCAGACACTAGGATAAATTGATGGCAGGCGCTTGAGATTTTCTAGCTCAATCCAGCCTTAGACAGCGAGTGTCCTCATCTGGGTACAAAACCAGTCTTGCCTCTGTAACTACCATTTAACTTTTAAAAATTTTCCATCACTCCAACTCCAAATGGTTATTTATCTGACTACTGTAATTGCATGTAATCAAGGAAAGAGATTTCCACTGAACAGAAATGATGGCTGTTTTTTGACATCAGTTGCAGTTCCTTTTGTCTTGGAAAAGGTGGCACTTCAGTGCCGCCCCCGGAGCTGCTCACTCAGGTGTGCGGGGCTCTCGGGAAGTGCTGCTCGCAGACGGGCAGGTGCGTTACCTGTTTCTCCACCACAGACACGTCCATGTGAGGGACCAGGCGGATGGAAAACTTTCCTGTCACTCGGCCAGGTATGACAGTTTTAGTCCCGGGCTCATCAAACGCCCCCTCGATCCCGTGAATGGAAAGAGATGGGAACCTCCACAGGTGCATCAGAATTTCCTCCTGAATTAAAATAAAATTATTTTATTATATACAAGAATGACTGATTAAAACCAGTCCAGTTGTATTGCTCACATCACCAGTTTCTGTCCATCGGAGACAACCATTCAGGACAAGTCCATTCTCACCCTGCTTGGCTACGTCTGGACTAGTACAAATGACCTTCTCCCTCAGGACACGAGGTGCTTGCGGCTGTCACCTGCCCAGGCCACTCCCATAGACAAGGGCCCCTTGTCATCAGATCTCTGGTTTCCAGTGAACAGATGGCAAGGGGGCCCTTTCAGAAATTTGAGTTCAGTGATAAATTTCCCTCCCAGTCACCCGTGACAGCCTGTGTGTAAATGCATGTTATTTTCCAGGCATCCGAGCTCGCTGCAGACGCCTGAGCCAGTTTTCTTCCTCACTGTGGCCATGCAGAGCTTGTGGGAGGAACTCTCCCGCGTTCAACAGGGCTCCCCTCTCCTGCATTCCCCCACCCCAAGCAGCCAGCCATCCACCCACACACCACAGCAGGCGGAGGAGGGGTGGCCACGAGGGAAAGGAAAAGTCTGAATTTGATTTAACACCATTTCCGCCCCTGGGCTACGCCCTGCTCTGAGGGGCGACCTACAGAGCAGCCCGAGGCTCTTGGTTTTGTCTAGAAAAATAAAGTTAGGGGCCTGGAGCTAAAATGACTGCAGACTGTTCTCTCATTAACCAGATAGGAAGCCCGGCTGGGACAGTCTAGTAAGCGGATTAGGAAGGGCAGGGCTGTGACAGAGGAACTGCCCTGTGGGTACAGCCCCAGAGAAAGGTCTGGATCTAGACGAGAGTGGCCGGGAAGGTGAATCTCCGCCTCAGAATGACCTGCTTGGGTTCTCAGGTGTGAGATCCGCAGCACGCAGGAGATTAGGATCGGGGAAAATGGGTTAGTATCGTCAGTCCCCTCAGCGAGCCATCGCCTGAGCCATACCTTGGTGTCATACAGAAACCGCCGCACCTGGCTGCTGCTCCGATATTCCTCTAGGTCCAGGTCGATGGCCCCGTACATGTCTCTCTCCTCCTCTGTGACAGGAGCCACGTGGTCGTAGATCCCAGGGATCAGAATGTGACCAGACGAGTCTGTGAGGCTACCTGCAGGATACAGGTGTTCCCTGTGGGCTGGTGCTCCGGCCCTGCCGCGGACCACGGGGACAGCCTGTGGCTGGCTCCTGTCCCCACGGCAGAGCCACCGGCAGCAGCTCACATCCTCGGGGTGATGGTCCCAGGAGGGAGCAGGTTACTCGGCCGGCACCAGCCCCGCTTTAACGCCCACCTTGTCGATGGAAGGATGAGCTGTAGATTTGCCATCAGTTAAATGGGGTTTGACTCACCTGCATCACATTCTACCTCCCAACTATACCTGTTAGAGCATAAACATTAAAAACTTCTCAAGGCCGGCCGGGCGTGGCTCAGCTGTTGAGCATCAATTTAGGATCCAGGAGATCAGGGTTCGATTCCCGGTCAGGGCACAGGCCCGGGT